AAAGTCCACACATATTCGGATTCGACCATCTTTCTTCCCCACGACAACAATGTTTGACACCCACTCGAGGGTACTTAACCACTTCTAAAAATTTGACATCCCACTACTTTCTTATCTCATTTTTGACTTTCGGTAGAATATATGGCCTTGTTCGTCTCAATTTCGTTTCACCGGCTTACTCTCCGGGTTCAAAAACAATTTATGTTCAACTATGTCGTTGTCTAAACTTGGCATATTAGCATACGACCATGTAAATATATCCGCATATTCTCCTAGTAGTGCAATCAATCTTTCTTTTTTGTACTCTCTATCGGGGTGCCTATCTTTAGCTCCCTCTTATTCTCCTTAATTCCCACATTTAATACTTTTAAATATTCTCCGTGCGGTTGAAGGGATCGTTCGATTGCTCAACTAACTTAGTGAATTCTAGAATATCATTGTCATCCCATTCTTCTTCATCCATTACAATTAAGGTTTCATCAAAATAAGGTCAAATATTTTTAGGATAATCATTTTGGTTTTTTAAGAAGTGATCATATTGATTGTCCCCGAAATGAAAATAAAGTGCAAATAAAGAAGAATATAAGAAAGCAAGGGCTAAAGTTCAAACAAACTTTCATAATTCAATAATTAATGTTTTTATGAAAAATCATAATGAGTAGTATACGTTTCATATACTATAATGTTTTAAAGAACAAAAAATAGATTTGACAAGAAAATTACTCAATCTTGAAGACTCGAAAGAGCTTCTTCATCGAATCAATCGTGTAACTTTTCTTTCTTGGTGAACTTACGGATGAGTTGATCTAGATCAAAAGTGTTTATCAATGTATTGATCTGTGAGCTAGGGTAGAACATTTGTACTCACATCGGCTAAGGATGGCATTGGTCGGACTAATTAAACTTCATCATCAATTTCTTCAACTCCTAGAGTGTTTACTATCATATCTTGGAATAGATGTTCCAAACTCAAATCCTCATCATTCACGTAAGATATTTATGAAGTCTTTGGAAATATGACACGGATATGAGGAATATCAATCCTTTCATCATTCGGATCACGCCCTCGATATGAGCCATTCTCTTTTCTCGCTTATATTTTATCATCCTCCGGTAGTCTTTCCTAGATGGCTTAAAACCTAACTCGAAAGGATGGTCTCCGTATCTCGACTTCATATGGATCCTTGCGTCCGATGAGTCATCATTCACCTCAAATGGATGTGTCCTATATTTTATTATGCAATTAGTCGACATTTTCACAGACTTCGATAACTTGGGCTTTCTTATCTATGAATTCTTCGGGAAAAACTTTGTATTGACCACCTTAAAAGCATGTAAATCCCTATCACGTGCCCCCTCCATCTCAATATATGGGACTAATACATTCCGAACCACTACAATTGCTTCCTCGACCTTTACGGTAACTAGCCTCCCACTCGCTATGTATTTCAATCGTTGGTGCGGCGAAGATGTAACCGCACCGACGAGAATGAATCCAAGGCCTTCCTAGTAGCATGCTATAGGTAGGTTGGATATCGATCACTTGCATGGTCGTCCGGAACTAATGAGGCCCGATGCCAAGATCCATATCACCAATGACCTATTGAGGCGTATCGTCATATACTTATGCCATCATTTTACTCGGCCTAATGTGAGAATGATTAATTGGTAGGTGATCTAACACGCATTTGGGTATCACATTGAGTGCGGATCCGTTGTCAATAAGCACCTTCGCTATCGTGTAGTCCTTGCACTTTATGATAATGTATAGAGCTTTATTATGCCTAGTGCCCTCGGGTCCTAACTCATATTCTATGAAATATGGGTAGTTGGTAGCTTGTACTCGACCCACTAGATGCTCTATCGACTTGGAGGTGATATCTTATGGCACATATGCCTCATTCGAACCTTTTAAAGTGCCTTACGATGAGGTTTTGAACCGAGTATTAAAGCCAATAAAGAGATACGAGCGGGGGTCTTGTTTAGCTACTCTACCACACTATACTTATCGTGTTTCATTAGCTTCAAGAACTCCATTGCTTCTTCTTCATTCACGGGTTTGCTTACAATAACATACTAAGGAGCGGTCTCTATTTCTTTACGCTTTATTTCCCTTAATTATTCTAGAGTAAAGCATCTTTTCGAGCATGTAACTCCTCCTATATCAACTATCCCATTAGTAGAGATCTTCATTACAACACTTGATCCATCGACTAGAGGAGAATGCCTATAGTTATGAGGGGTGGCTTGATAATTGACGCTCTTATGAGCAAGCAGACCTTAAGATCAACTTCATAGGACCGATCCTATTTACTTCATATCCGACTAACTCTAACTTTTTATTTTCGAATTTGAGGTTAGAGTGTTCCCCATAAGTCGTTTCTCTCCTTTCTCTATCCTTAAGGTCCCCAAGGCCAACATGATTTGAATTTCTTCATGAAACTCATAACAATCATCAACATTATGCCCCTTTACTTCATGGAACTTGCAAAATCGCTCTATATGGATGGGAGTTTGAGGTTTGACGAGCTTCTTGTCAAAACCATTAGCCTTCAATATGTCGAACAAGCTTGACATGGACATCTTCAAAATCGATATTCTTTTATCACCCTTCGTATCTCCTACCGATAGCATGTTTACCCCTCCCGTGACATGATTTGGGAGAGGGTTGAAGTTGGTACTCGAGGTTTTTAGGGAATCCTCGAATGCTATCAAGCTTTGATTGATTAGGCTTCGCACCCTCTTTTTAAAGCTCACATAATTTTTAATGTTATGACCATTAGCACCACTATGATAGTCATAGACTTCATTTGGCTTATACCAATGGGGGAATGATGGTTGAAGTGGTGGAAGTTTCATAGGAGCTATCGGACCAATGGTTATGAGGTGCTTGAAAAGATCACCGAGTGATATTGGAAAATGTGGTAATATATCGTTAAATTGCCCCTTGGTAGTGTTTCTTAGGAAGTTTTAATTCATGGGTCTTGACCGATTTATGAATGGTCGTGGGTTCGATAGTGGGTTTAAAGTGGTCGTTGGGGTTAAGCGTGTGTTTAGGCGAGTTTGGTAAGGGTTGATGTTTCATGAGTGTTACCCGAGGTGAAACCCATCGCAACACCGGTAATTCCTTCCTATATCGAAGGCAAATGCGGATGCCATTAAAATTATGCAATGTGGTGTGTGCATGAGCATTATTTCATATCCGAGTCTCAAATAAAAACAAAAATAAAAGAAGGATACAAACAGAAAAAGAAACATAAAAATCAAAACAAAAAATAAGAATCAAGAAAAATGAGCAAATAATTAGATAAATAAATAGAATAAAATAAAAAAATTCGAGGCAAACAATAAAACAAAAGGCATGAATTTAAACACGACGGACAAATTACGAAATAGAGCTAACATGCATAAGAGAATAAGCCACATCATCGAAATCAAACTCAAAAGCGCATGCAAAGCCTAACCCTAAGTATTGTCCCCAGTGAAGTCGTCATTTTGTCGTAGGGTGACGTCGGCGAGTGAATGAAAATATAGGGCGGATGATTGGAGTCGCCACCTAGTATTACGATTACTAGGAAACCTCGTTACTCGGTCCATTCGAGTTTTGGGTAAGAGGTTTATTACGTGTAGGAAAGATAAAAAATCACCCTACCTCATCTTGCCTAAGGCAAGCTGCATCGCATATAACATTAGACAAAATCGATAACTTAGAAAAAAATAGGCAAAAATCGACAACGTAGGCAAAAACAAGTAAAAATCGACAACTTAGGCAAAAATAGGCTAAAATCGGCAACTTAGGCAAAAATCGACAACTTAAGCAAAAATCGATGGCTTAAACTAGAAATAAGCTAAAATAGGCAACGAAAAATGAAAGCAACAACTTTGGCTAAAATAGGCTAAAATCGATGACGAAATCAAAAGATCGACGAACTTTGGCTAAAATAGGCTACAATTGACGACGAAATAAAAAATCTATGGCTTTGGCTAAAATAGGCTAAAATCGACGATGAAATAAAAAATTGACGACTTTGGCTAAAATAGGCTAAAATTAACAACACAATCAAAAGATCGAGTGGCTTTCGCTAAAATAGGCTAAAATCGACGACGAAATCAAAAATTGACAGACTTTGGCTAAAATAGGCTAAAATTAACAACACAATCAAAAGATCGGTGGCCTTTGCTAAAATAGGCTAAAATCGATGACGAAATCAAAAATCGACGAGTTTTGGCTAAGATAGGCTAAAAATGATAAAAACAAGCACACATAGGCAAAAACGAATGAAAACCGACAACGAGACCGAATTGGAGAAAACGCAAAAAAAATCAACGAAATTAATTACTTTAGCATGCATAATCAATCATGTTTAACGAAAGCAAATTTACACAACAACAATTTAAACTTGCTTGGTTCGACGTGTGTTTTTTTATATAAAAAAATTACCATACAAGACACGTTTTTGAAATATGCATTCAAGTAACAACAAATATCCACACGCTCAAACCGACACGGGATTCATCATCGTAAAATCAACAATGCAAATCATCGTAACTCAAACAAATTACACATAAACAAACAAATCAAATTAATTACAACACATTCATTTAATTAATTACATGATACACATCAATACGAATCAAATTTAATACATGTTGAAATAAAAAATAAAGCAAAATAAATTAAAAAAAAAAAGTGAAAAACATTATTGTAAAGAAAATGAGCTGGATCGATTCGCTTGACGGTCTCGAAGTCGATTCGACCTTTTCAACCCCGACGGAGACTAACACTTAATCAACTGGGGAGGAAAGGTGGTTACCGATGGAGTGTGGAAAGGCTCGCTGCGGGTGATGGGCTGCTGCTGGCGCCGGCGCACTAATGCTTGGCGGGTTACTAGCGCCGGTGTGCTATTGGTGCTAGCACGCTATCGGCTAGGCGCTGCCGTGCGATGGCTTAGAGTGTTGGCGAGGCATGTTGGTCGGCGCCGGTAAGACGGGCGAGCACGATGGCTTACCGGGACATACTTCTAGTGGGAGCGCCGCACGCCGAAGGCGCCGGCCGCGAAGAAGCTCAGCGAGGCACGCGTAAGCGTGAAGGGTTGGCCTGTTGTGTAGGAGAAGGCGCCGAGGCTGGTGGCGTTAGGGGTGCTTGGCATGGTGGCAGGTGTGGGAAGGCTCGTTTGCTACGGGCATTAGGGCGCCATCGGCGTGCGTGGCTAGGTAGGAGTCAGTAAGAAGTAAGCACTCGCTATAGGCGAGCACTACGAGCACGTGGGCACGCGAGCCGCTGTATGGGAGGTCGAGCGCGTGTGAGTAGCTATGTGGGAGACGGAGAAGGCGCCGGGGCAAAGGCTGCTCGTGGAAGGAGATGGTTGGCATGCGAAATTGTTGTAGGAGGAGGCGGTGGGTAAAGCGTTGCTGCTGCTCGTGGTTGGAGCGGTGGCGGCGAGGGTATTTTAGGAAAGAGAGTAAACGGTAGGTTGTGGCCTTTGGGGGAGAAAAAAGTGGCTTTTATATGAGCTTTCTAGGGTTTCTTGGCAAAAATCTATTTTGGTCCCTCGTTTTAAAAACCAACTTTATTTTGCTTCCTTCCTCTTTTCTTCTTCAATTGCACCCCTATTACATTATTTTTATTTTTTACTTTCCTGTTTTCTTCTTTTTCTTTTTCTTTTTTGACCCAAAATTGGGTGCTAACATACATCACAATGAGGGTTTTATTGATGTCCATTTGTGATTTCGATGATTTAATTTATGGTTTTTAGCTTTAATTTTAAAAGTTAGGGTTAGGGTTTTTGATGAAGAAAAATTGAGAAAAGTGAAGTTAAGTTAATAATTCATGCAAGTAAGGTTGAAACATGTTAATTAAACTTATATTTGAGGTTTAGAAATAAAAAATTTATAAGGTTAGGTATAGGTGAACATTCGACCCAAAGTGGTGATTTAGGGCTTTTCAATTCTTAAATTTAATTATTGTCCTATAGCTTGATTATGACTAAATTAGGAGTGAATTAGTGTTTAAGAATGAAAATTTTCACTTAAATTGAAGAAAATCCAAGGAATTTCCTAGGGTTAGTATTCGGTCGAAAACCTAAAATCTTAGGGTTTTGATTCTTTCATCCGAGTTCATGAATTATTAGTTAATTGATAGTCGAGTGAGTATAATTTGATGAGTAGGAAAGAAAAATTCTAGGAAAATTGAATAAAATTGATTAATTTAGCTTCGGCCAAATTTCGATCCATTAAAGCCCAATTAGGGTTTAGGCATGTATTTGTTCTATAAATGTCAATTAAATTGCTTCCTATTGCTAATGTATGATTGAATTACTTATTGTTAGAAATTAATGGTGAATTGAGAAGAAAATAATTTGGTTATAGCTAAAGGAGAATTCGGCTCAAAATGGAGGAAATTAGGGTTTCGGTTTCAATTGATCCGTAATGCTTCAATTAGTTAATTTAGACCTAAGATAATGTAATGAGATGAATGAGAATGAGAAACTTTATTGAAACCTTAAAATTGGCTTGTATTGGTAAAGTTAAGGTTTAGGCCCAATAAAGCTCAAAGTGGAAATCATACATATAGTTCATCAATTAGCACTTAATTAAGTTATAGTTAAATTAAGTAAAATTACATAAGAAATGGGTGTTGAAATTGGTTAGGTTAAAATAGGGTTACCATTACGCCTAATTGGAACATTTTAGTATTTAAGGCTTAGTTAGTATAATCTAATTGTAATTACATTCTTTTGATGCCAAATTATGTGAATGATGTATTTATGTCTTTATGATGTGTGAATGCTACAATTTAGTGCCTATGAAAGTTTATTGCTCATAATGTGGAGTGGTGAATTGTGAATTATTTGAAATAATGGATTCTCCGGAATGGTTTATAATTATGTTTGTTTAAGGTAATGTTTATAATGTACTTTAGGTTACTAAATTATTCAACGTTATGGTATAAATGCATCTCATTGGTAGTATGTATTTCATGAAGCATGAATGGTTATGCATTTCAATAAAATGCATATACTTGCCCAAAGTTTATGAAAAATGTTTTTAAGTCATGAAACGTATTTTACGTCATGGTTTTCCAATAACAATTAGAACTACTTTATGAAAGATGATTTTCATGACTTTGAGGAATTTTATGAGGAAGGACTCGCTGGGTTTTCTATATTCTTATGGTAATTGGTTTAGGATCGAATAAGTGTAAATGTGGACTTTTAGAGGTTGGATAGGGCGCGTTCATAGATGAGTCCGATTCGTCGGACATATTATGGAAACCACGAAGTACCTATGATGAGACACGTCCAAAAATGAAAAATGATTTTTAGACCGATCGTGATAGTATTTATGACATGAAATAAAATTAACATGAACATATTAATGTTTTACATATGCATATTCATTTACATGCATGACATGCATAAGTTAACTTATTGAGTGGTCACTCACCTATTTTTTTATGATATAGATAATAAAGGAGATCATGGCTTACTTTTTCACCGAGCTGATTTTCGAGGGTTGCACTCGATGTTTATACCTTAGATGAGGATTTGGCTTTCGAGTCGACCTACTCTATGCTATTTTCTTCCTAGTATTAGCTATTGTCATCTATGTATTAGGGTTAGCTGGATCTGTTTTATGCTATACTTAAAGCAATGAATAAATAGATAAGGAATTGTCGATATGATTTAGATCGATAAATTAGCCACTTTTGTAGTATGTGGCATTAGATTGATTTTTGTATGCGAATTGTGGTATGTATGTAAATAAAATATTAATAGTAAAATAGTAGTATAATCATAATTAGTATAATTTTCTTTAAGTTATTTATTTTTAGACTGGCACAACACGTAAATCGAACATTGATTAAGGTAAAAGGTAACTAATAATTAATCACCAAATAACAAGAAAAAAACAATTAGTAATTAAAATAAAAGGTAAATTAATAAAAAGAAAAATAAGTAAGTATTAAGTAATCGACCATGCTTAAATAAATTTATATAAGTCAAAAGAAAAGGAATTTAGGAAAACCGAGAGTCACGGATTCAATTAATTCAATTCATAGAATTTAAATAAAGCAATAAAATGTGAAGAATTAATAGTGCATTTTGAACAAAGAAATAAGATATAACTATCATTATTAGACTTCGCAGCGTAATTTATACATAAAAGTATTAGAAATAAGTTACGGTGCCTTGTTAATTTACATTTATTGCACTTCGAATGTAGGTTAATGATGGTAATATTCTCGACTTATTACGTCATAAGTTGGGGGTGTTACGGACATGGTGTCGGAGCAGAGTTTATCGAATCACAACCAAGGTATATGGAAGGAGACCTCGAAAATCGGTAAATATGTTTAGTGAATGATGGTTATGATTGTTTGATGCATATGTGATGAATATGATGTTGTTTCATAATCGAATGTTATGTGTATGGAATGTTATATGTTAATACAATATGAATGACTTAATGGTAGTTATATATGTTTATAATTAAAAGAGGAAAAGACTATGCTACCAAAATGGGCTATTAATAATAACACTAGTAATAACACGGGATAAAGTTGAATGTCGAGTGATCAAGAGGGAGAGTTAATGGAGTCGCTTAGAAGGTAGTCGGATATGATAGAGCTATAACGGGAGAGGGATGAAGAACAACTACAGCAAATATTAGAAACGACTGAACGTGGTTCGATTAAGGCATGCTAACCACGGAGGATCGAGAAATTAGAGCATTTCCAACGATTTAATTTGAAGGAATTTAGATGCGATCCGAATCCTAATATTACGGAAGAATGAATTGAGTCAATAGAGGTTATCTTTGAGTATCTAGGTTTGTATGATGTAGAGATAGCTTGTGCCACATTTATGTTACTCATTGATGCTCGAAATTGGTGAGAAACGGTGAAAGCATCTCTTGATTGAGCATGGCTTTTATGGAATTAATTCAAGGAATTGTTTAATGAAAAATATTTTTTTTGACACTATAAGATCCTATAAAATTCGGGAGTTCCTTTAGTTAAGGCAAAGAGACATGTCGGTTATGGAGTATGTTCACAAGTTTGAACATGGTTGTCGTTATGCTACTTTTATTATTGAAAGCGAGGAGACAAAGAAAGAACACTTCCTTCGAGAGATTGAGGGTGAAAATAAGAAGTTTTGTTCAAATGTCGACTGATACCTATAAAGATATGGTGAGGAAAACACTTGGAGTTGAAGTGGACCGAAGGAATGTACTCGTGTTCGACCTCTAGGAAAGGAGAAGTTATTCTAGGTAGGTTCGGAGGCCGGCTTAGTAGGAAGAGACCATTTACTTCGAATTGGAAAAAGGGATAATAAGAAAGGAAAACACCTGCAAGAACATGAAAGATTATGGAACAAGGTAATTAGAACTCGCTGAAATGTGGACACCCATACACTAGAGATTGTTTAATGGGTACAAATGTGTGTTACTTCTATCGAGAGGTAGGACACTTGGCTAATAACTCGTTCAAAGAGAAAGCTAATTGAAGGGCAATGCATTATTGGATGCATTTACACATTAACTCAAAAAGAGGTGAATAAAGAAGATGCTAATGTTATATGTGGTAATGTTTTGATCCTTAATCTTACAACGACATGCATTAATAGATTTAAGTGCCACACATTCATTTGTTATATGATTATTATTAAGACAACTAGGTATGATATCGAAAGTATTAACTATGACATATGAAGTGGCACTCCCGTCGAGAGAGTCACCTGGAGTCTAATGCTATAGCTAAGGAGTGCGAGATGAAAATTGGGAGTTATACCTTACGTGTCGATCTCATAGTCTTGAGCATTCAACACTTCGATGTTATTCTCGAAATGGATTTTCTATCAAGGAACATGACATCAATTGATTGTGCGGCTAAAAGGATGATATTTCATCAACCGAATAAGCAACCTTTCGAGTTGCAAGCTAGAACAAGGCCGAGACCCCGTAGCCTTAGTTTCAACAATGATAACTTGGAAATTGATAAAAGATGGATTATGGGTTACCTAGTGAATATGGTTAATGCCAAGAAGGATGGGAGCCCAAAACTAGAGGACATTGAAGTAGTTAAAGAGTTTTTAGATGTTTTTTCTAAAAATATATCGAGGTTACCTCCAAAAAGGAAAATATATTTTGAAATTGAGTTAGAATCGAAAACGACTTCGATATCCAAATCACCATATACGATGGCTCCAGCAAAGTTATAAGAGCT